TAGATTGTATGTATATTTTCTTGTTTCCATAAGGTGATGCATTGCACCAACTATCACTAGAGGGTTACTTGGGAAGTTAATGAATAAAAAGAAAAATAGATCACTGTTAAGGGAACAAGAGCTCACTGTAAAGTGACTCAAAAATGTATTAAATCATATATGTGAACCTATGAAATGTTTGGCTTTTGAATATATTTATATGAAGTATATGGATGATATGAATGATATTATTTTAAGGTTTTATAAATATTTACTCAAAAAGGCTTGAAGTATGATTTCATGAAAATGTCCCTTTTAAATGCATGTTTTTGTATGGTTGCCATACTTAGTGTATTCTTGTACTAATTCCAGTTTTCTCTACTTTTTACACAAAGTGTAGGTTATGGATGATTAAATGGATATCTATATGATTGAGGATCTTGATCTGTGATTCCCAAGATCAAGGAAAAGAATCATTATGTCCAAGGATTTCCTACGTTATGTTTACTGTAAAGTCTTAAATATTGTACTTATGTTTATGTCTTAAGGGTCGTGTCTGTAATGTACTCCAAAGTTGTTGAGTATAATATGACAAAGAGATATAGGGTCAAACAAGGTATTACAACTTATGTTTTTATATGTATATGAAGTAAAATTTCTAGCATATGAGGTATTATGAAAAGTTTTAAATTTTCTGCTAAATTTACTATGTAGATGTGATGAATGATAATTATAGGCTTGTATAAGTCCTTCGATAGGTAAAGTACGCTATGTTACTTCTAGGGGGTGCTCCTTTGTTGTGGCAGTGATACACTATAATACCACTATTCAGAGAATATTCTAATCTAACACCCAAACAAGCCAACCTATGAACATCTTTCATTGGTTTATCTTGGATTTTTCCACATGAGATAAGCTTCCCAAGGACAAACAACTTAGTGCGTCCGCAACCACATTAGCTTTACCGGGGTTAGAGAGCAAACTCATGTCATAATCTTTCAACAACTCTAACAACCTTTGTTGCCAGATATTCAAATCCTTTTGGGTAAACTCATATTTAAGACTCTTATGGTCGGTATACACTTCAACATAAACCCCATACAAGTAATTCCTCCATTTATTTAAAGGAAAGACAACCACCACTAACTCAAGATCATGAGTTGGATAATTCTTCTCATAAATCTTTAGTTGCCTAGAAGCATAGGCTATAATCTTTCAATGTAGCATAAGAACACCCTAAACCCACTCGGGATGCATCACAATATACCAGCAAGCTCTTAGTACCCTCCCGTAATATCAACACCAGAGCGGAGGTAATCCTATCATTAAATATTTGGAAGTTTTTCTCAAATGCTTCCGACCAATATAATTTCACATTATTTTGAGTCAAGGTTGTCAAAGGGGAAGCAATGGATTAAAGCTCATCAGCAAAACTTCTATAATAACCTTCTAGGCCTAAGAAACTCCTAATATCCATAGGATATAAGGGTCTATAATAATATTTGGATGGTTCGGTCTTCCTTGGATCAACCTCTACACCCTCATTACATATGATATGACCAAGAAACACTACTAATCTCAATCAAAACTCATATTTTCTATACTTGAAAAATAGTTGATGCTCCTTAAGCACTTGCAAAATAACTCTCAAATGTCCCATATGATCACCCTCACATTTCAAATACACCAATGTATCATCAATACAGAAAATCAAGAATTAATCAAGATAGTTTTGGAATACCGTATTCATCAGATACATAAACACCGCTGGGACATTAGTCAATACAAACGACATGACTAGGAACTCATAATGACCATATCTAGTTCAAAAGTCGTCTTACAAATACCTTCACCTCTCACCCTATGTTGGTGATATCCCAATCTTAGGTCTATCTTTGAAAAGTAGCTCGCACCTTGGAGTTTATCAAAGTAACCATGTATCCATGGAGAGGATACTTATTCATGATTTTGAGTTTATTGAGTTGACTGTAATCAATACACATCCTAAGGGACCCATCCTTCATCATCAGAAACAATATCGGAGCACCCCATAGAGAAATACTAGGCCGAAAGCAACCCTAGCCTAGTAAATATTTCAGTTGAGCCTTCAACTCTTTTAATTTAGCCGGAGCCATCCGATATGGAGGAATTTAAATGGGATTTGTATCCAGTAATAGGTCGATACCAAAGTCAATTTCCCATTCGGAATGAACATCACGAAGATCATCAGGGAAGACCTTTGGAAATTCCCTTACCACGGGGATCTACTCAAAGGGAGGAATTTCGGAGTCTAAATCTTTGATTCTTACGATATGGTATAAACACCCGTTAGAGATCATCTTACAAGTATTTAGAAAAGAAATTATACGACCTCTACGGATAGAACATCCTCCCTTCCACTCTAAGAGAGGTTCATGACAAAATTTAACATTCAACCCCCTTGTTCTACAATCTATAGTAGCAAAGAAAGTATGCAACCAATCCATACCCAATATAAAATCGAAATTGACCATATCCAGTTCAACTAGTTCAAAGTACCTGATTCTATTGGGTACCATTATGGGACAATTTATGTATACTCTTTTAGCTACAACTGACTAACCGACCAGGGTAGACATCATAAAAGGTCCATTCAAGATATCAGGGAAAATGTCAAACTTCTTAGCTACTAAAGGAGTAATGAATGACAAGATAGAACGGTATCAAGTAAAGCATATATATCAATAGAAAAGACATTCAACATACTGGTCAGCACATCGGGTGAAGTCTCTTGCTCACCCATAGAGCGAAGAACAAAAAAGAGAATCTTTTATGGACAATCCACATTCGAACCACTTGCTTGAGCTTGCCCACTAACCTTGTCTTGACACTTGAATTTAAAGCAATTCTTCACCTTGTTCCTACTCTTACAACAACTAAAGTAATTGTCCTTCCCAATGAGGCAATCACCATAATGTCTTTTACTACAACTCCGATATATTGTCTTCTTGGTAGGTAAATTAGTTCCTCTTCCCTTTTTAGACTTAATGTTAGATACCCTATAATCACGAGCCTTAAGGAACTTGGAAGGAACTTGGTTAGAAAATAGCTTTTTGAACCTAGGATTGTCTTGGATATCAAGCCTACCCTTTCAAGAACAACAATCAAATGACACTGCCCTATAAGCATCCCTACTCATCCTACTAGAAATGTTAATATTATCATGTATCATAGTGGAATGACATTCGTGTTTCAAGTTATCGGACACTCCCGTCACAAAATTGTTCATCTCATCCCTTGGGTCGGAAACCAAAAAAGGAACATACTTTGACAACTTAGTAAATTTCAAAGAGTAGTGAAGCACACTCAGATTTCCTTGACAAAGATTGATAAATTCTTCAACCTTAGCTTCCTTCTTTTCCCATGGAAAGAAACTACCAAAACCCAATAATATTTTGAAGGCTTCAGAAACAAAGGTTATGTTAAAGACGATGGACATGTAGGATGGTCCGTCTACCAACCGACGTACCGTAGACCTAGTCCGTTGTTGGACACTTAAAAAATATCGCGATGCTTGATATGCAAAGTTTCTGTTAAACACTACAGATGTGATGGACGGTCCATCAATGAAAAAATGGATCGTAGATCACTTCCGTCGATAGGCACTAAGACAAAATTTTTAGACCCTCAGTAAACAGGGTTCTGTTAGAGTCGAAGGACGTGTAAGATAGTCCATCGTTAAGTTGATGGACCGTAATCCTAGTCCATTGTTCAAGAGTTGATTAAAATACGGGTAGCTATAAATAGACCCCATCGACGAATCGTCGATTGAACGATGGTCCATAGACGCGGTCTCGTACTGTCGTTCAGCGACAGATTTTGGTAAGCCATATTTGGAACCCCCAATTGACAATGTCAAAACATAATAAAACACATTAGGCTCATATATGAATCAACCCACCATTTATTCATTCCTAGTATATTGATTAGTTCAATTTCAATCCTAGAATCTAACGTACTAAAAAGCCCTAAGTCTGAAAACTACAAAACTCAGAACACCATTCATTTAGACATTAACTCCCCCAACCCATTCACTTTCCATCATACTAAGGGACAAGGGATCCAAGTTCAATAGTTAATCAAGTAATTTCATCCCAAAGTCAAGACCCACATAATGATTTCATCAATTTTTGATGCTAACATTTAGGTGTCAAAACAAAGAATATTAAATTAGTAGCAGATGAGATAAACATACATGTGTACTGTATTGGAGTGAATGGGGAGATAACTTTGTGCATGAGAAAACATCCGTACCACCTTTAAACACTGACCGGAATGAGTATAGAAGAAGTTGGTAAGTGGGGACAGAGAAGTTATAGGATTGAGGGGAATTTTGGGGAAGATGAGTAATCAGGAAATAATTAGTGGGGAATAGATGTGTGAGTGAGTAGGGGAGTTGAAGGAAAACGGGGAGGGAAACATTTGGGAAAGTGATTTGAAAGGGTGAGAGGAAACTGAAAAGTTTTAGAAATCAATATATAGCAGGTCGGGTCGGGTCAGGTTATTGAGTATAGAGAACTAACGCTTCCCCGTCGATGGATCGTAAGTCTATCTATGGTTCATCGACTATTCCGTCGACTTTACCCTAACTTACGAAAAATTATACATATACATAGGATCCACGAATGCCATCGACAGTCCATCGATTAGACGACGATCCATCGATTGTTCGTAGATCAGTGCACCAGACAAATTTCTGTAGATTTATGGTGATTTGATCCCTGCAAACATAATACCCAATAAGCTAATATTTTTGTATATTCTGGACACTTTTTAGACTCGGACCCTAGTCTAATCTCTAGCCAACACTTCTAAATAAAGTCAAAGAAAATTCATACATGACAAGAAGTAAAAAAAAAAATCATGCAACTACTCCAATAAAATCAAGAAAAACCTATTGTTGTCTAGAGGATACATATTGGGTTTGCCTCCCAATGAGCGCTTGATTTAACTTCGCGGCACGACGCAAGACTCTTGATTACTCAAACTTCATAAAGATTATATGCCTCAACAACTTCATTCGCATTTTCCGAATGCACTAGGTAGATTTCGATTCTTTGTCCGTTCACCTTGAACATTGCAACCTCCTTATTCTCTAACTCAACCGCACCATGAGGGAGGACTTGAGTGATTAAGAATGGACCAGTCCAGTTGGACTTGAGTTTTCCTGGAAACAAGCGCACTCTAGAGTTGAATAAAAGCACTGAATCCCCAACCACAAAGTCGTGCTTCTTAATCTTTTGGTCAGGATACTTCTTCATCTTTTCTTTGTGGAGGGATGAAATTTTATATGCCTTCAAGTGAAACACATCAAGATCATTTAATACATTCAACCTCTGTTCCGCTTCTTCATACCAATGAATCTTCGCTTTCTTCATTGCGCACATGGCCTTATGCTCTAACTCAATCGGCAAGTGAAAAGTCTTCTCATATACAAGTTGGTATAGACACATGCATATGGGAGTCTTGTATGTTGTCTGGTAGGACCAAAGAGAATCATCAAGCCTCCACGATCAATCCATTCTAATTGCGTTCATCGTTTGCCAGAATCTGCTTGATTTCTCTGTTTTACACCTCAACTTTCCCACTAGTCTGAAGATGGTAAGGAGTGGCCACATTGTGGTGAACCCCATATTTATCCAATAACCCTTTGAACAACTTGTTGCAAAAAAGGCATCCCTCATCACTAATAATAGCCCTTGGGGTGCCAATCTTGAAATATGTTCTTTTTCAAGAACGCAGTGACACTCTTTCCTTCATTATTTGCATGTTCTATGCCTTCCACCCATTTTTACACATAATCAACCGCCACAAGAATATAACTTCATCCCATGATAACTTACCAAAGGTCCCATAAAGTCAATTCCCCACACATCAAACAACTCAATTACAAGAATGGGATTTAAAGGGAGCTCTTGCCGTCTAGAAACACCTCCATCTCTTTGTCACCTATCACATGCCTTGGAGGACTCATGAGAATCTTGGTGGATGTTTTCCAATAGTAGCCACATTTAAAGATTTCATGGGCAGTCCGGATACCACTATGATGCCCACCTACAAGCAAGAAGTGGCATTCCTCCAAAACACTCAACATCTCAACTTCTGGCGCACAACTCCGAATAATCCCATCGCCAGAACTCCTATATATATATGGCTCATCCTAAAAGCACTTTTCACATCATGCATGAACTTTTTCCTTTGATGAAAGGACAGGTTTGATGGGACGATATCACTAGCCAAGTAATTTGCAAAATCTGTGAACCATGGAATCAAGTCATGAGGAGCGGCTAATACATTTTCATCAGGGAAAGTATCATCAATTTCAGTCTTTTCACTCAACTGTCGCATAGCTTCATCCTCTAATCTAGAGAAGTGATTGGCAACTTGATTTTCTGTCCCTTTTCTATCTTTCACTTCAAAGTCATACTCTTGCAACAATAATACCCATCTAATAAAGCTCGGTTTGGCACCTTTCTTTTCAATCAAATATCTCATGGAATAATGATCAGTATGCACTATAACTTTCGTGCCAAGCAAATAGGAGCAAAAATTTTCTAAAGCAAACACCACCGTAAATAGCTCTTGTTGAGTTACAATGTAATTCTTCTAAGCTTCATTTAGGGACTTACTGGCATAATAAATGGGGTGGAGGATTTTATCACTTCTTTGTCCCAATACTACACCAAGAGCAACCTCACTAGCATCACACATACCCTTGAATTGTTTGCTCCAATCCCGGGAAATAATAGTGGGCGCGGACACCAACTTCTCCTTCAACTCTCCAAACGCTTTCAGATAAGATTCATGAAAATAAAATTGACACTCTTTCTCAAGTAACTTGCATAGAGGATGTGCAATTTTTGAAAAATCCTTGATGAACCTCCTGTAGAAACCCGTTTGCCCAAGGAAACTCCTCATACCTTTTACAAAGATGGGTGGAGGAAGTCTCTCTATCACCTCGACTTTAGCTCGATCAACCTCTATACCCTTCTCTTAGATGCAATGGTCCAATACAATACCCTCTTTTACCATGAAGTATCATTTCCCAATTTAGAAAAAGGGTGCAATCTTCCCATCTTTTGAGAACTTCGGACAAGTGATTCAAACAATGATCAAATGAGTCACCAACAACAGAAAAATCATCCATAAATGCCTCAATGGTGTCCTCCACCATATCGGAGAATATCGGCATCATAGATATCTGAAAAGTAGCAAGTGCATTACAGCACCCCAAGGTGATCCTCTTGAACGCGAAAGATCCATAATAAATAAGTAAAAGTGGTTTCCCTTTGATCTTTCGATGCAATAGAGATTTGGTTGTAACCCAAATAACCATCAAGAAAACATCACCCCTTTCCTGCAAGCCGGTCCAACATTTTATACATGAAGGGCATATGAAAATGGTCCTTCTCAATCCATGCATTCAATTTTCGGTAATCCATACACACTCTCCATTCGGTCACCAGCCTGATTGGAAAAAGCTCATTTTTCCCATTAGGTACCCCAGTCATTCCCCCTTTCTTGGGCACACACTAAAGAGGGCATACCTAACTACTATCAGCGATCGGATATCTGACTCCGGCATCCAACCAGTTAAAAATTTCCTACTTCACTACCTCTTGCATAGGTTGATTTAAACGTCTCTGTTGCTCAATACTCATCTTATGTTTGCGCATGAGTTGGATTTTATATGAACAAATACCGAGAGGGATCCCAATATATCCGCAATAGTTCACCACATAGCTCTCTTGAACCTCTTCGACACTTCAACCAAACACTCTACTTTTTACATATTCAAATTTGATGCAACAATTACCGCCAATGTGTTGCACATCCCACAAGTACACCCTAGAAGTTAGATTATCCTTGCAATGTCTCATGGAAAATTAGATTTCAAGAAGTCTTATCTAATCCTCTCGTATCATTCATTGCATCATAAGCATAACTAAAATGAGTAAAAAAATTTAAAACTTCTTCACACATAAGAACTTTTTGACAAACAATACTTAAGCGTAAGACTTTCATTTAAAACATTAAAACTATACAACATCTCATTGAACCATCGATATTTTAGAGTTTAAAATACATGGGACTAATCCCATACAAGACATAAAGACTCAAGACATAAAGGAACATGTGGATATTGTCCTCAAATTGATGAGGACTTACCAATACTTCATCTTTAAACCTTAGAAAACTATCCATCCTTCATGGAACATCGAGATTCCATTTCCCTACACTTAAGTCAAAAAGTAAAAGAAAGGGTTAGCAAATTAGGTGTAATAAGTGTGGAATCCATCCAATAACCATGAAAAAGGGACATTTAGTAAATAGCATGCTTTTCATGAATTTCGATTAAAACATCATTATATAAGAATAAGAGCAACATTTATCAACTTCATACACATAAGAAATCATTTAGGAAAAAAGTCACACTTTTTAGTAAACGTTAGAGTGAACTCACTTCACTGTACAGTGAACTCAATTACTGTTACAGTGACGTTCCTTCACTTCACTTTAAACCCCATTTAACATGTGATCTTCACACTCAAAGCTATCCTAAGATTCACTTAAGTCACACAAAGAGAGACCGCCCATACACCCTCTGTAGATGTGCCTAAATGGCCCTCAAGATTACTTATAATGAGTCACATAAACACTTAAGAGATATCAACATAAGGACATGAGATTTTCCAACCAAAGGTGACTCTAAGGTTCACTTGAGTGAGTTGTGAAGCGACCGCCCATACAATCCCTTGCACACACACTTAAGAGATCCTAGAGACTCCTTAAGATAGATTTGTTATCATTTAACATGTTAGCATATAGGTGATATGACATTCTCCTTCCAAAGGCGATAAAAAGACATAATTAAGTAAATCAAGAAGATAACTTTAGTAGTGACCTCTTCACGATTACATAAATAATCCTTAAGATTACCTAAGGATTAGATCATGTCAACATAATCAACCAACTTCCCCAACTAGATTCATTCTTAAGATATATCTAGGTAAGATAAGAAGTTACTATTACTATGTCCCCTTCACACCTTAACTAGACAACCCTTAATTACTCTAGATAAGTACTACCTCATTTTAACATACTTCCTTAACTTCAATCATTATATTCATAAGTTCATTAAGAGACATTCATCCCATAAAGAACATTCAAGTAATTGTCTTATACAAGACCTAGGGACTCCAAATAACATCTTCAAAGCCTATTGTTCAATGTCTAGATAGCATCTCATACCACCACCTAAACTTCATAGAACTTCTCAAATGCTAATAGGTTTCCCACATGATGAAAATAGGCATTAACCTACATAGAATATGTTAGCAACTCATGGAATCCGGAGTTCTAACCTACTCCGATGATGGTGTTCTACTTGCAATGGGTAGAACTAGGACACGTCCCATGTTTGCACATGGTTAAGGACAATAAAGGGCTTTTATGTACTCTAGTTTAATTCTCAAGTAGAGGTAGTTGTACTCTAGTCTTTTAAGTAGTGCCAACATGGTCATGATCATCATATTGCATAAAGTAACACAGACAAGGACACATCAATTGCAAGTAAAACACAGAACACTGCCACTATAAGTGGAACATACCACTCACAACATAATTGAAGTCTAATCAATTATCAAAATAAAGGATTAGGGAAGCATACCCTACTCCATCTTACCACTTCGATTTCAAGGCTAAATCATCCAATTCAATATTACGAGGCCCTTACCAAACGCCATAACCAACATATCAATACAATTGTATTGATAATCAATGAAACTAGGTCAATTCGTTATATACTTATCAATCTAATACAACCTAGATTTCAATGGAATACAATTATTGCATCATTAGAAAGCCCATATAAAAATACATTAGAAATCATAAGCTTTAAGTCAATATCAATTCAATAAGCTTAGCTTGCAATAGATCAAAGAGTATCCATTACTTAATTAATCAAATTGAAACAACCTATACATCATACATATTCTATACATGAATCAAAAGCCTAAAACAATCTATACATGAATTCATGAATATCAAAGCATAATCAATTCACCCATATTTTTGTGAAATTTATACATAAATAACATCATATCTTAACTTTTGGAAACCATTTATGCAAGAACCCAAAACTTGGAGTAAAAATTGGACTTTTTCATCTTTTTCATCTTTGAAATTGGCTCTAAGGTGATACCGAGCCTTAGATGAAGAACTACCATAACTTATTTGAATATTGCAAAGCTAATTGAAGAAGACACTCCATTGAATACCCATCTTCAAGCTCCATCTTCACTTTGAACTCACTTGGAGGTTTTTAGAGAAACTTTAGGAGGGAAGGGGTTTTGATTTAGATGTGAGGGTTATAATG